CAGGACACCTGCCACATAAAGGGTTCGGGGTTGTTTAGGGTGTGGGGTCTTGGGTAGTCAGGCTGTGATGGTTCCAAAGTATGGCCTGTCCACATGTGGTGCTATCGGTGTTTAGTGCTGCAGCTAACTCTTTATTTAGTTCTTGTGAAACTAGAACATGGACAGCATCACATGTGGTGACAGGTGTGCATTTTGAGAACAATATCAACAAGCAAATTAAATATGAACTGGGTAGACAACACACAATGACAAGCCTGACTACCTCGAGCCCCAAACTCCAAATACATCAGACTTAGATCACCTCTTACGTAACAGAAGCCGCAAACCCCAACTGGAAATAGGGTTCAGGATTGGGTGATTGTTGTATGCCAAGTGATTTGGGTTGGAACTTAGCCTGGGGTTTCTGGGTTGGGGCAAGTAGGCGCTTAGGCAAACACACGAGCTAAGGCATCTTATGTCATAGGGGGCCTGATAGGGGGGCGGGGTGGTTTCGGTTTCGACTAGGGATGCAAGCATCTGGTAATAGTTAACACATACAAGTAAGGAACCCCAGGCTCTGTTTCATAAACCTTACCACCAATCAATGATTCAACGTAGAAACTACTCCCATCTTTCTGAAACCTATCAGCATTTGGGGTTTGCGGCTTCAGGTAATACCAAAACCCTAAACCCTAAAACAGTCTTTTGTGTGTTTAAGGCTTCTTGGGGTTGTGGTTTAGGCTTGGGCTTTTCCTGAGAGCTATTATTACCATGGTACTATATATTCTAAGAGTTTGTATCAATTTCAAAGATGCACAACTGTTGCCACATGTGATGCCATCCATGTCCTGCTAAGACTAGCATTACTGTAGACTAGACATGGATAGCATCACATGTGGGCGGTGTGAATCTTTGAAAAGGGTTTTAGGGTTTAGGGTTTAGGCTTAGGGTCGGGTTTTTAAGAGCTATGTAGGGTAATAGATAGTTTATATCAGTTTCGAAGATGCACAACGCACATGTGATGCCATCCGTGTCCTGCTAAGATTAGCGTAACAATAGACTAGACATGGATAGCATCACATGTGGTCGGTGTGAATCTTTGAAAAGGGCTTAAACTGAAAATAAATATATTGGTAAACTCTATACTAAACCCTGCCCTACACCCTAAACCCTAAACCCCTAGCCCCAGAGCCAATAAGAAATGCCAGGTCGTTCTTCATTTTTTCGCCGTGATGCCCAAGGTCAGGACCTGAGTCCATTTGCTGGGCCTGATTTTAGGGTTTAGGGTTGAGGGGATGATGTGAAGCTTTGAGGTTTGGGCTTTATGGTGCTTTAGGGTATTTCTGCTCTAGGGTTTTTTCCTACTGCCACAGTCATGCACCGCATCTGTCAGCAGCATCATGAGCACAGCTTGATTCATGCCAAAGCATTTGGGCTTGGAACTGAGTCCCCGAGTCTGAGTCCCGGAGTCCCAGACTCCTGACTTTTCCCCGCGATGGGGGCAGTCAACTCGACGTTCTTCATGCAGGTGACCTCCGGAGGGACCGTCGCATGCTTCCAGCGGGCCGAGGTCGTGTTGGCAGTGCAGCTGAACGGTGATTGGATCGCGATGTCTGTCCTCAAGGATAAGTCTTGCGAGCCCAGCTCAGTACAGCTGCCGGTAGAGTTCGCAGGCAGGACTGGGATCAAAGTGTACGAGTGTCTACTACAGTTTTGGGTTGAGGGTTTTAATTCATGATGTTTCCCTTGAGTCAGTGTCATGTGCCCTCAGGTGGGGATGTCAAGTTTGCCGTGGTCACCACCGAGAACAACCAAGTGATTGCACTCACCGAGGCAACGATGATGCCCGATCAGAAGTTCCCTGTCGTCAAGTTCGTGACACAGACTGGCACTTTCGGCATCTCCATCCTGACCGTCCTGAATTTGCGCAGTGGCCCGAGTATTATGCAGACACCGACCCCGAAGACAGACACCGGAGTCCCAGAGACAACTGTTTCGGACCCACCGGTGGGGCCGGCGACGAGCAGCGCAGACTCGCCAGTGACAAAGCCTGGGCCAGACTCGCCAGTGGCAAAGCCGGGGGCGACGGAAGCCAAAGTGGAGGACGATGGGCCGATCGTGGAGGATGGTTCCGAGCCAGACTCTGAGTTTGTGCGGGTGTCTGAAGTCGCACCCTCTTAGCCCAGAGTCCCCGACTCCAGAGTCCTCGACGACTCCAAAGTCCCGGACTCAGAGCCTGCGAACCTCGCGAGTCTACGGCCCTATGAGGGCTTGCTGCAGATACAGTCGAGAAGGGCTTCTGCAATGACGGCGCCACGATCTACACCAACAGCGGCAAGCCAGCCACGGCTCGACAAGGTTGATGAGTCGGAGCAGGACATCACATCCATGCCGACAAGCCAAGTGGAGCACATCCTGCAGAGCGGCGGCTCCCTTCCTGGCTGGGACCCGCAGGGCGACCCTGTGCAGGACCTGGGGTACGTGAAAATCTTTTACTCTGCGGCCCCCAGCGACACTGTGGCCGGCTTGCAAATTGGAGTCTGGTTTGAAGACCAAGCTGATCGACCTTCGGGACCAGTATGTGGCGATGCACAACGATGGGTCGATGCTGAGTCTGAGTGCCGAGTCCCAATACGATCTGTCGGTGCTCGAAATTTGGTGCCGCCACCTTTACAAAGGAGTTGTTCCCCATGGGCCGCTACTCGGCTGGGCCAGGATGAACGGGCACGAGTTGTACTACCACATCTACGGCGAGAACAACCCGCCTTTCCTGATGGCCAAGGTTCCGGGTGGCTCGTACAACACGCAACATGCCTGAGATATCAAGCTGATGAAAGCAAACCTGTAAGTTCTAGGCGGTTGTTGTTACACATGTCCTGTTCTGACCCAGGTACCCGTTCTTCCTGCACGCCTTCGACATCATGGCAGGAGTCCAAGGCATGTTCATGCAGGCTGGCCTCTGGAAAGTGCGAGGATTGGTCCTCCCTTCACAGATGAGGATCCCGGATCGCAGTCCCGCGGCTTTGAACAAGTCACTGCTGGCCCAGCATTTTCCTGAGGACAGCCGTATCATGGAGGATGTGCTTCCGATGCACTGCTCGCTGAAGATTGACCACTCGGATTACATGGCACGTGGGCCCTACGAGCATCTTGTCGGTGCCCCCCCGAACTCCGAAGAGTCCTTCTTCTTTGACTGCTCGCCCTCCACGACTTTCTACATGCAGGCCAAGGGTCAGTTCATCTATGCCATGAACCTTGGCTTCGAAAAGTGTGAAAAATCTCTATAAAAATTTAAAATCAGTCTGGTAGTACACAAAATGACTCAGGACCAAGAAGCCCCGCAGCGAGCTGACCGTCGATTGGATCCGCAAGGCCGATGTCCCTGGAATCAAGGAGTTCCAGGTACTGGGTGTGTTTCCAATGGAGCCGCCTAGCCTGCAGGGCATTGCGAAGTTCAAGTACCACTCCGGCATCTACTGCGAGGAGGCCGGTATCAAGAAGGCCTTGTTCCTGGAGCTGCGCGACTACCCGGACAACATGTACTGCCGGGGAGGGCGGCGACCGCCGAACGTGCTGCAGCTCTTCGCAATGGACCAGGTGCCCGCCGAGATCAAGAAGTCACTGGTGACGAAGGCACCGGCAGGGCAGAATTTCGAGCCTCGTCGGAGCAGGCCTGGATTTGTTGTCCAGGGCGACAGGCCGTTCAAAACCTGTCCGCACGGATGGGTCTGGCAGGAAGCCTACAACGGCAAGATCACGTTCTACTACGTGGACGATGGCCAGACGTACGAGTTCCACCAGAACAGCCCGGACTCCAATGTGCAGTTCTTTGACCACGAAAAAGGGGAGTACGTGGTGGCAAACGGCTGCAATGGCACATGGCAGCATGACACGGTGTCGAGTTTCATCGGCGACTTCATCCGTGAGTACTACTACGACGACTGAGAAGTAGCTCACGGCGCCTTCCGGCTCAGACAGAGACAGAGTCCCTGAGTCTCTGAATCTCTGAGCCCTTTTCATTTCAGCCCAAGGGACCAGAGCCCCAAAGCCCCAGGAGTCTCTGCCAGGACTTTCTGGAGAAGCACAGGACCAGAGTCCCAGAGTACCCGAGCCCCCGAGTTTCTGAGTCTCTGAGTCCTTTTCATTTCAGTCTCAACTAACCTACCATAAAGCCGAAAGCTTCGGGATTCGATGATTCGCTTCGTGAGGGCTCTGGTCCTGGTGCTGTCGGATAATTGCAACCTGAACCTTGCCATTTCCTTGCACCTCGCTTGGGATTGTGTTTGAAGTTTTATGGCGAACTAATCACGACAGTCCGAGGTGCACGTTGGCATGCACAGTGGTTACGGGCCTTCTTTTACACAGGACGTGCGCGTACAACGTGCCATTGAAAAAAACCGACTGATATTCTGCTCCGCCCATTTCGCATTGAATTGAAGCTTGCATCACTCCTCCCCACGAATCCACTGCCAAGGTCAGTTTCGCATCTTGTACACCGACAAGGTGCTGCTCGGTGGATTGGGTTTTAAGGGTGGCTGGTTTTTTGTTTTGGGCCCTAGACCCGAAAACCTGAAATCCTATGTGGATGTGGTAAGCTTGATCATAGGGCTCAGGGTTTAGGGTTTAGGGTCGTTTAGGGTTGTTTTGGGCCCTAAACCCGAAAACCTGAAATCCTATATGGATGTGGTAAGCTTGATCATAGGGCTCAGGGTTTAGGGTTTAGGGTCGTTTAGGGTCGAATAGTAAGAACTTTGGGATAGAGGGTGTGTGCAGTGGGCCTTAATTAACTCAAAACCTTGAATGGAAACATGTGCTGACTTACGTAAAAGCGCGAAAACCCATAGACTCTAAACCCCAAGGCAAAACTCTCGCAAGCTAGGCTTTCATAGTTAAGTTCCATATGTTTTCCAAGATCCACGGTGACCTGAATGTGATAGATTTGCTTAGTAAAAGACTTAGGTGGGCTTCGCACTCAGGACAGCCGGGATCTTGGAAACAAAACTAGGTCGTCAAGCCTAATGACCTAATGGAACAGAAGACCTGTTTTAAGTAAATACAGCGCAAATAGACCAATTAACTTCACCGGAATTAGACCCACATCGCCCCAACACTCAAAACCCCTCAATCGTTGAAGTGCTTGCCAGGAGCAGCCAAGAGCAGCAGATGCATCCGAAGAGGCCTCGGCGGGTTTAGTGGAGTTTCCGCTTAGCATAAATAAATGGCCATGGTCGTACACATTGAAGTGTTCCTCGGGGTTGCAGGTTTAATGATTGTCATTGTTTATTTGGAAAGTATTGATGTGTTGAACAGAATAGTCGGTGCTTTTGGGTTAGGGGAAGGCGGATGCTATTTGCACATCTCTGGCATTTTTCTGCTCATCTGCGACTCTTGATACTCTGGGACTCTGTGACTCAGCCGGCATTTGCCAGCCTTACCAACGGGGAACCGGTGCTTCGTAGGGTTCCCTGCACACCATTGGCCGGGTGTGAGGCTTTGTTGGCATTGTGGTCAAGCAAGTCGCTGCTTTGAGGCCAACGCACCAGCACCAGGTGTATGACAGCTGAGCGATACGCTAAAGCATCAGCTGGGGCAGCGACTGCTTGAACCCCCCCCCCGGGAAGCTGGGGGGTGACGCGGGATGCGTGCAATCTCAACTTGGATGGGAGGCCGACTGTGTCCGGTAAGCTGTTGTGTGCCAATCGCCCATGTCATTGCAACCTCTTCGACACAATAATCTCCCCGGTACAGAAGGAGCTCCAACAGAGTCCGTAGCAGCCAGCTTGAAGCACCAACAAGCCCATGACCAGGTAATATCCCTTTGACAGACAATAGAGCCACAGAAGCAAAATCTACCATCCATTGGATTGCAGAGTTAACCGCAATGGCCAATGGCTACGAACCTGAATCAGGGTCGTCACCCTTGAACATGGCGGTTATATTATCCACTCAGCTTCGGGATTAGGGCTTAGGGGAGCGACGGGGTGGTGATCTTTCGGCGAGATTCCCTGAGTCCCTGAGTCTCCGAGTCCCTCTCGGAGTCACAGACTGTCAAGATTCCAATGGCACTACCTGTGGGCGGCTTCCGAGCAGCGGACAGGGAGGCAATGGAGAAGGCTGCCGAAGGCCACCCAAAGCCGCCAGGAGCAATTCGACCTCCACCGCCTGCCAAGGCTGCACTGGCACAGGCAACACCAAAGCTAAAGCCTCCTCCGAAAGCCAGGCCGACAGCATCTCGGCTAGACTCTATAAACGCTACACCTATAGAAGCTAAGAGACTGTAAACCCTAAACCCTAAACCCCTTTAAACCCCTAAATCTTCTTCTATGTATGATACAAGGTTTTCGAATGATGTATAAATCACAAGATTGAGGTGATTCCGGCCAGAATCATCACGAAGACAGAGCCGGAGACTCCAGAGGCCCCGGCAGCGGAAGATGTACCTCAACTGCACATGACATTTGTTTGTTATCGTTTTTCTCTGTCTCTGGATCTTAATAATGGTTCTGTTCTTCTGTTTTCGAAAGCCCATTTCAGGTACCAACTCCTGTTTATCTCTATCCAACTTCGCCCCCTGATTCACTACAGCAAGAAGTAAAATAAGAAGATGCTCAACATGGCAATGTTCCGGAGCGGTCGCAGCACTTGGCAAAACCAGTGCCAACAGGTCCTGACAAAGGTGAGGGCACAGATGACCCAGATTCCATCAACCTCGTCAGTCCAGAGGACAACCCTGAGTCCCCTGAGTACCGCGAGTCCCAGACCTTGAGAGAGAAGGAACGGGAGAAAGTAGCACCAGGACCAGCAGATTCACAGGGAGCAGCTCCGGATGGAACAACCAGCGGCCCACCGGGCGAACTGGAAGAAACCAAGAAAGACACTGTGGAAGAAGAAGCAGCGGCGGCGGCGAGACCAGCACTGCGGAGGCCCGTCGTTCTCAATTCCACCCTGCCCCCCCCCCCCCCCCAATATAAACTGATTCGGCAGGTCTGGTGCATCCGAGAAGCTCCAAAGCACGCCGGACAAGAAGAATGCCGTCCAAGATGCCCGGCCAGATTGGGCACAGCCGATTTTCGAGTCAATTTCAAGTTATTCTGAGGACGATGACCCTGGGCCAGTGGGCAGTGCTGCCCACGATGCCAAGGAACCACTACCAGCACAGGCAACGGAAGAAAACCGACGTGTCAGCAGAAGTGCCAGTGAGGAGAGGACCAGGAGCCCGTCCAGGCGAAGAAGCAGTGGCAGGAGGAGCAGGAGCCGGAGGACCAGGAGCAGGAGGAGCCGGACCAGGAGCAGGAGCAGGAGGATGCCAGATGACAGGTTGAGAAATGCACAGGACAGATTGAACATGATCTTGCGATCAGTTGTTCATATGCAGAAAGTAGGCGAAGAAGCCAAGACAGCAGCATCCCGCGGGATGCTTTCAGTATAGAGCGAGAAGATAAGGCAACAAGCAGTGAAAAGTCTGGTGATACCTGATTCCCAGATTTCCAGACTCAGAGTCTCAGAGTCTCCAAGAGACACTGAGATTCCTTGAGTCCCAGAATTTCCGAGTCCCAGAGTCCTGAGTCCATGAGATTGAATGCGAACATTGCATAAACCGGAGAGGTTTCTGTGCTCAGGGCTGTTTCTTGGATGTTTTGGAGACTCTGACACCGAGTGCAGTGACAGATCGCTTTTTGTGCAAGAAACAAGAGATGCTGCCTCTGCATTGCCTTCACACTCCCACCCCCATTGAACGTTGAACCTTATGTAATTCCATGACTTTGCCAGGTGCTGCCCCTTTCAGTCTGCAGCTCCTACGACGAGGCATGACGATTGCTGCTGGGAGTTGGCAAATAGATCTCAGTCAATGCGAGCTTCTTTAGCATATGATGCTTCAGCTTTGGGAAATCGTAGGCTGCAATAAAGTTTGACAGGCATCAGCAAATTCACCAGCCACCCAGAGCCTGAAACCCTGAGAAACCCAACCCTGAAGCTAGGTTCGCACTAGCCAATTCTCGTATTCTCTGTCTCAGTATCTTTGTGGTTTTCTTGCTCTTTCGCTCACATACATAAAGACCCAAATGTTCCCATATGGATACCTACTTATCGAATTGTCCGGAAATCAAAACAGGGATGCTATCAGAAATCCAGCTATATTTGCGTTGACTATGGGACAGTAGTACAAGATCTGGATGTATGTATGTATGTATGTATGCATGTGTATGCATGTGTAGGCATGTGTATGCATGTGTATGCATGTAAGCAAGTATGTATATGTACTTCGCAAATCGAGCTGACTTCTAGTATCAGAGCTACACCCACTGATGGCCACATGTGTTTTCTTCTTGGGTCTCAGGCTTGGTTGGGTTTTCAGGCTTTACACTTGAAGCTGCTGCTGTAGCTGTCGGGTTTCAAAGTTTAGTGAGGCTTTCAGTGTTCAGAATCCTAAACTTTCGAACTGGTTTTCAAGCTTCAAACTTTAGGGCTTCAGGCTTTTGCTGCCAAAGGAAGGAATTTTTAAAGGTTAGGGTTTCAGGGCTTCGGGTTTCAAGGTTGATTATTGAATTGATGCACGATTAGCCATGGCGGTTACTACGCCAAACCCAGCCACAAGTGCTGGCCACCGCTGAAGGCCTCCCTTGACACATGCATGGTTGCCTGATCCTGAACTGAATGAACAATGTCCGAAGTCATGTGTGGCTTGACAGCATGGTAATTGGTGTGTGTGTGTATATATATATATAATGCGTGCAGTCATTGATGTCATACTGTACATATATATATATATATATAGACATGCGACGTACCCAGGCCTACCCGAATACTATTGAAATCAACCGCGTGGGCTAGGAAGCTATATGAGTTTAATTGAGTTACTCTGAATCAGAAAGAATGGAAAATCTGGCTGTGCATGCAGAGTATGGAACATACATAGAACTCCTACATTGGCTTCAGGGTTTGAGGGTTGAATTTATGCTAAAGTAAAGATACACACTGGTGGCCGCATGTGATGTTGTTCGGTCTATCTATTTAGTATACTAGTTAGCAAACCATCACGTGCGGCACAGTGTGAATCTTTCAAGTAACAGCTAGTAGACGGCTAATAAACTACTGTGCACTCTTTGTTTTGCACAGGCAACCCAGCAACTTGATTAAAAAAATCAGCAGCAACATAGATAAGCTTCAGACAAGAAAACTAGACAAAAGGAGCCAGAAGTTACTGCATCGTAAGTGGTGGACAGCTAAGTGCCCATAATTAGGGACTGCTAAGACTCACCCTGGCTACTTGATTTGGCCGCGAGAATAGGCAGAAGCACATGAACAAGGCTACTACTTTATTCGAGTCACCTAGGGCTAGGGTTTTTGTTTTTGAAGTAGGTAGGCCACATCTCAGAACTATCCAGTTAGGTGTTTTCGACTTGGCTGTGCTTGGACTGTTGGATTAAGCTTCAGGGCTTATAGTGCTAGCTTTTGGAACAATTAGGTTGGTGCTAGTGTAAAACTGCTTGCTGTGTGCCTGCTACTACTAGTAGCCAGCTCCGGCAGGACTCGCTACTAACCAATAGTAGGCTCCCCCAGTTCGAAGGCTGGCCAGTCTTTAAAGCCCACTATTACTGAATAGTACTATGAATAGGCATAGTAATAGAAAGCCTCCAAAGCTGCTAATTCAAATCCACTGAAATTAAGCAGGCCCCCAAAATCCCAAAGCTCATGAGTGCAGTCTTTTCACCTCATAGTGCCTTTTCTCTGGCCTCCGGCGGGAGGGCCGGAGAAAAGGCACTATTGGGGGGTAATAGTGCCTTTTCTCAAAAGCGGTTTATATAAGAGTGCCTTTTCTCCGGGGTCGGGATTCCGATCCAAGATAGCTAACTCAGCTACAATTCCAAAGGATAGTCTTCGAAAGGCAAAAATCCCAGGACAGTTATCTGAGACGGATGATCCAAGATAACTAACTCAGCTAACAATTCCAAAGGATAGTCTTTGAAAGGCAAAAATCCCAGGACAGTTATCTGAGACGGATGATCCACGATAACTAATTCAGCTACAATTCCAAAGGATAGTCTTCGAAAGGCAAAAATCACAGGACAGTTATCTGAGACGGATGATCCAAGATAACTAACTCAGCTACAATTCCAAAGGATAGTCTTCGAAAGGCAAAAATCCCAGGACAGTTATCTGAGACGGATGATCCAAGATAACTAACTCAGCTACAATTCCAAAGGATAGTCTTCTCAAGGCAAAAATCCCAGGACAGTTATCTGAGACGGATGATCGAAGACAACTAACTCAGCTACAATTCCAAAGGGTAGTCTTCGAAAGGCAAAAATCCCAGGACAGTTATTTGAGACGGATGGTCGAAGACAACTAACTCAGCTACAATTCCAAAGGGTAGTCTTCCAAAGGAAAAAATCACAGGACAGTTATCTGAGACGGATGATCCACGATAACTAACTCAGCTACAATTCCAAAGGATAGTCTTCGAAAGGCAAAAATCCCAGGACAGTTATCTGAGACGGATGATCCAAGATAACTAACTCAGCTACAATTCCAAAGGATAGTCTTCTCAAGGCAAAAATCCCAGGACAGTTTCTGAGACGGATGATCCAAGATAACTAACTCAGCTACAATTCCAAAGGATAGTCTTCGAAAGGCAAAAATCCTAGGACAGTTATCTGAGACGGATGATCCAAGATAACTAACTCAGCTACAATTCCAAAGGATAGTCTTCGAAAGGCAAAAATCCCAGGACAGTTATCTGAGACGGATGATCCAAGATAACTAACTCAGCTACAATTCCAAAGGATAGCGGCGGAGCGGTTTTTTTTTCCTAGGTCTGGTCCGCCCCGGTTTGCTTTCCTAAGTCTGGTCCGCTGGTTGTGGTTGCAAACAGCCGTAACTGCAGTCTTTGCTTCTATTTTGCATCAAGCTATTGGGGAAGTTGAATTTGACGGCTCTGGTTTTGCTTCTGTTTTGCATGAAGCTATTGGGGAACTACAACTTGCGGAAGACAGACAGACAGACGGACGGACAGACAGACAGACAGACGTGTTGTTGCTGTTGTTGTTGTTGTTGTTGTAGCCGCTATGGATCACAGCAGGCTGTGTAGCTTTGCTAACAAGGCTCTGGGTTCCAACGCTAGAGGCTCGCAACGGCCCCCTTCTGCGAAGCTTAAGGGACTGTCCTCTTACTGAGCCATAGCTACCCCCGGAGCCGCGTGTCGCTGTGATCCACCGGGTCCCAATTCCCGGGCCTCTGCTTTACGTCCGACAAGCAAAGCACGAGGTAAGCGGTAGTGGTTTTCAACTTCTCCGCAGGGTGAAAGGAGTCAGATTGGGTTCTCTCTTTCTGGTGAAACTAGCGGAAGGCGCGTCGACTGTGCCTCAGTGTTTTTCTCCTGCCGATGCTTTTACATTTACAAAAGGACCTGCCGCACCAAGCCACTCAAGGGGCGGCCCCAGTCATGGGTTGGCCATCTTCTGCACCTGGGTATCCTGAAGGACGCTTTCGAGTTGAGGCCTCGTTCCGCTCCTCTCTTCGACTTTCTGGCTACACGACAAGACACCCAGGTACAGCTCAAGGTTTTTCCTGCGCAGTTTTGCTGGCGCTCTGGCTTTGCGCTTTAACGGGTAAACCTCCGCAAGAAGGACACAGATTGTCTGGTATTCTCATGCAGTCTTCTTCGAGCACTAGTTTTTCCTTCAACGGCACAGTGGACTGCCACCAGCTGCTACGAAGCCAGTGCGATCGAGAGTTCTTCGTCACGGTTGAGAGTTTTCTGCGCTTCACTTCTGTTCAGCCGCCAGCGCCTGGGAGCAAGTCAGACTCAGGACAGGTTTGGCGCAACGTGGTGACTCACAACACGTCAGCATCCTCCCAATGCTGGCCCCGACGGGCATTCCAGGGACTCCTTTCGCCAAGGGGTGCCCTTGTGGGCCTAGAGGGGCTATCCTCTCTGGAGGGGGAGGCCTCTCGGGGGCCGCCGGGCCAGACTTGTCTACAAGACAAGGCGCAGATTGGGACACTGGGGACTCAGGTTCAGCAGAGTTGGCCAACGTCTTCAGTTCCAGCACGGTGTCTACCTGGTACGGCTCCACGTCACATCTGGGTACAGTCGTTAAGCGGACGCGCTTGCTGTGCTATGGGTGTCGGGCTACGGCTACGGCCCTCCCAGGTGTGTTCGTTACTGTCCTGTTACCGACGGGGTCAG